CAATAACTTAACGGAAGTTAAGTCGAGGGACCATTTCTACGTACAAACTAGGCCAAAAGGACAATGAATCCAAAAAAGTCGAGGTTTGGACTGAAACCCCAAAAAAATGCATATCACATGGACCATTTTTGCAATTTTGTCAAGTATTTATAAAAAGTGCACTTCTAGTTTGTAAAACTGTATTGTAAAAAAAAATATACATGTTTTACAACTTTTATACATGAAAATAACATGTAAATAATAATTTGTTAAACGGGAAAATTAAACAAACATATATAAAAACAAAAGTGTAAGTAAATCATAAAAAACAATTTCTATTTTAAAATGAATTCGCTAAAAAGAAAGTTATAACAAAAGATTTAAGGGACAATATAATATAGCACAACTAACTTTTGTGTTTGTCCCAAATTAGTTATTGATGTTTTATTTGTGTATAATAGACCATTAAAATTACATTTTCCGTGTCAATTATACAATTTCGATAGATTTGAAGCAGTCAGCCGGTATATACGTGCTGAGTTGGCATTTAATAATTAATATATATACTTTACAAACATTTAATTATTTGCTAATATTCATAATGGGTGTATTCGGACTAATAGTGGAGTGTCAAAGGGGTTTAATTGATAATATGTGTTTGTATAGGGATCATTTTTAATTGAATATTTGCTAATTTCTTTTCTATGGTCTTCAACAAAAAGGTATAACACCACCGTCTCGTAGAAGACGCGAAATCGTGAAGCAAGAAATCATGGGTTGAGTTCTCAAATCGGAAGTGTTTCTGAGACGTCGAATTGGAAGCTAGGAAGCCTAGTTGTTTGATTTGGATCCGATGTCAGGTTCGATTTTATTAAAGATTGAAAGGGATCAATCGGAATTTGTTATCGTTTGATTTCTGATTGTCTGTTCGAATGCTAGATTCGACTGTCGGAGGCCACTAGGCCGGAACGCCGGAGCGGGGGTGAGTCGTATTGTCGATTTTGCGTCTCTCAACCTCCTTGATTCTTGGTTGCAGGTCCGAAAATGGTGACATCGTGAAACAATAACGAGCCATAAATCTAACACTTTCACATTCTTTATAGCAACTATCTTTCCCGATTCTAGATCACGAGCACGAAAAAAACTGCTATATGTACCTTGCCCAATCTATTGAAACAATAACGAGATATGAACTTCAATGATTCGTTGAAGAAGTTAAATCTGTTTGTTTGTGTAAAATGGTGAGGTTAAGTGATGAACATTTTCTAATTTTTCAAAGGATTCGGCTTTGAGAGGCAACCAACCATGAATGGCTTCACCGGTGACTGCACTGAGCCACGCCGACCAACCAGCAACCATCTGCTCTACTTCAAGGTATCTATGCAAATTACCCAACCTAAAGCTCATAGACTCACCATCGCCGATGGTGAAATTCGTCCTCCCTAATTCACCCAACTCGCTCACACTCACCCGTGATCCAC